CCTACACAGTCATTCTCTTGCTTGATTAACGTACCCAGTGTCCGTCTCAGTCGGTCTCTTGTCCCTCTTAGACAGGAGCTGAGAAGCATACTTAGTTAAAGGTGCGGTAAGCATGCATCTGATCACTTTACTGTCTCTGAATCCCTTCAGAGAGCAATTCAGACGTAGTAGGGTTCGCCCCAGACCTTTTGCTCCCATGACAAGAATGCAATCACATTGACTCCTGCCTCAAAGAAAGCCAGTTCCTATGAAAGAAAGACATTGGTTGTTGCCTGGTGACTCTCTGGAGCCACCTTCTGTACATTAAGTCAACTTCTATTTGTCAACAAACACACAAGTTCTGCATTATAATCAAGAGAGCAGCAACTCCTCGATTGGTCCTAAGATATGACAAGTGTTTGTTTTAAAAGACAATGAGGAAAGGGAAAAAGTCCGAGGATTTACTTTCCAGTGTTGACCCTTTTAAGTAGGTTTGGCTCTGAAATAGGTGCTTTACCTATAGAAAGTTAGCATAAACCACATGACGCAATGCCTACCACACGGATGTATTATGAGATAGCTAATAGACATAAGAGGAAATTAAGTCAGCTGTCTGAATTTTTCGTGGTTTCTTGTACATGATGAAAAATATTAAAACCGTATTTTCATCCTCCTTGGAAATTCAAAATAAGTGATGATTAATTACAGCAGGAAAGAAAGAGATTCTCATGGTTCACCACACCGAGACGCAGTCTTCTATAACGGATGATCAAATCTGCAGAGCTTCACAACATGAAAGCCTTTTGCTGCCACCCTAATCTCGACTTTAATGTGGTAGTCGGCAGTGAGGAGATAGCAGACTTGATGGAGGTGAATAAATTCGAGTTGCGAATATCTTATAAAAATAACATGCTTCTACCCAAGAAAAACAATTTGAATGCCGCTCAATGTCTTAAATTTGATAGTATTGCGGTAGAGCTCGATAAAGTGACTTGTTGCTGCCCTTGCAGACTGGTCAACTGCATAACATTGTTTATATTACAGCAGAGGGTATAGATATGTGCCTGTACATCTATTACCGGTACTCTTGATTCCTCCATCGAAATTTCATTTTTAAATAAACTCTCGTTCCTCAGATATTATTTAATCCGGACACGGCCCAAGGTTGTCTAGTGTGTGAACCGAGTTGTACGTAAATCTAAAGCTGGGCAACCTCCCTCCAAATGGCTTGCCTGGCATTTGGAGATGGGGCAGTAGAACAGGGGAGCAAATTTCGAATCGCCACCTCACCTCTTGACTCGGCCAATAGACCACTGATGGATGCGTCAGATTCAAGAAGACCTTCCACTCTTAATATCGAGGAAGTGGTTTGTGACTTGCGATAGTGTTGAGCTTGAGGAATGAGCCAGTCCATTTGAACTCACATCACTATGGAGGGAGAAGATCAGGAGGTCTTGTAAACGGAGACTGCGGGAAAGCACGAAAGGGTATCATTCCGAAAACACCCCCCGTTTTTGGAATGTTTACTGATAATGTGAATGGGTGGCAGCGCGGATCGGCTGTGTAACAGTATTCGTTACATAAAAGAGTACAGCATTACCTGTTGCCAAACAGCCTGCTAATTAAGAGAGTTGGAGACTTTCGATAACCTAGGGGTCAAATATCCATTTTTACCCAAATCAACTGGAAGGGGGAAGTCAAAGGCGTCGAGTAATGTAAATTAACCCAAGCCCGTTAAAGAACAAAAACAAGCTTGAAGAACTGCCCATTTATTTTTTATTCCTTTTATCCTACAAGGAGGCATGTTGTACATTGAACCGGTTTTCACTGACTGACTGCCAGACCTATTGACCTTTAATGAAAAAGGTATTTACACTTCACTCCAACAGTCATTAAGCAAACAAGTTCATCATTGTTTATTGTCAAGCGACCTACTGATTAGTCAAACTTCCAAGACAATTATTTTTCACCTAGTGTATGGCTGTGCCTGTTTCATGTGTAGCGGAGTGCTGACGGAATTATTCACGTGATGAAGAACAATCTGCATCTACAGCTAAGATCTATCCACTCTATGGGGTAAATCTCAAAGGCGCAGAAAAGTGGTCCAACCTTAGCGACAGTTAGGACTGATCAAGCCATTGGAGGAAAGTCCTCCTCCAACTTGACGATACGACGCAAATTCTCCTACCGCATTTCACAAAACAGCCTCCAGAATATCTTAAGCCTCACCTTGAATTTGGACAAGGGCTAATAGATACCGCCGAGCTCTCCCCGTCCTCATCATTTTCCTCTTTCTCATTTTTTGATACATTTTTCTACGGAATTATCGGATACTAATAAAATGGATTCGACAATTCCTAACCAAAATACACGTTAGAAGAGGAGGTGAGCAAAGACTCCTCCACCGATTCCCATCTGAATAAAAAAGCACTTCCTCAAAAGTTGGATCTAAAGCAAGTCTCCATCAAGGATGACAATTCAATAAGATGTAAAAAGTAGGTATGCTTTATGATTACCTGCTTTGAGACCTTTTTAACCACAAATTAAGGGCGGGTGGATTTAAACGCCCAAAATTTATCCTGTTTTTTATGGGTCCCCTTTATAATTTGACATTTTTAATTACAGGGTGTAATATAACCTTGGACCGAGGAATAATAACCAAATAATTAAAGGCAAACGATTGATGTGGTGTCCCTCAAGCGGTTTTTCCATTTGCATGAAAACCGCCTTTTGAACTACTCACTTTTATCAGACCGTATTTTGGGTTCAATTTATGCGCGCCAAGTCTTGCCTTCTGATTGGTGGAACTTTGAATAAACCGCCTCTTAGTTGCTTAAATGTTTCTTTCAGGATTAAGTAAAATTGCCCTTAAATTTGACCACCCATAATTTTGTAAGCATAAATAATGCAATCCCTTTTTTCATTCTTGAGGTGTGGTACTTATATTTTTAAGTAGCAGCAATGGAGATAATGGAGATAAAATGTTTATGAGGAGCCGAATTTTTCCTGCCATTTGCGATATTTCTCTGAAAATGCCATGCCAGAGGGTTTTGTCCGTCGGATTGCGGATTCTACATCTCCAGAAGTTATTGGATCGAAATGCAGTTTGGTTTGAAGTAGAGCTGGATCACAGAAGAAGAATGTGCTTAGAATGCCAAGACAAGCCAGCAGATGTTCAATGAATTTGTGCTGCATACAGTGAGGACGGAGGAGAAAAGCTGAATTTATTTAGAGTTAAAATAAGTCATTTAACTACCTCTAACCTAACGTGCCCTTAAATAATCTGGCATCAAGGGATAAAGAAGGGTTTTAACTTCAAGCACGTGCTTCGCCACTGAAGAGACAACACTACGTCAGTCACCTGATGTTGTTGGTCAAAAGTTAGTGCACAGCATGAGTATAAAGTTCTTTCTGGTGGTGGGGTCACCTTAAAGTGAACTTGACAGCTAAGGAGTGACTTTTCTGTCGCGACTGACGTAGACTGCCCTAAAAGTCAAGCCCGTCATGAATAATGACCTAACAAGAAGGGAAGGGAGGTGAACCTTTAATCGCTACGTGTATACACACATTCCCGTTGCCAACAATATCAAGAATATGACAGACCGCGGTTCCCTTCTCCTCGATGCATCTTACGATTGTGTTGTTCAACTACCTTCCCACCGCTATGATAAACGACTTACAAAACAAAACTGTATGCAGCTAATCATTACATGTACCGCACTCTCTGCCATCTCCAAAGCTGCCACTTACTTTGGTTGGTTTTGGCCTCATCCAGAACCGTAAAAACCTTTCGCACAACATTCATTGCCGCCTCTTTGCAAACCAAATGAATGTCTGATCCTGAATATCCCTTGGTTAACTAAAAAAACGAAATCAATTTGCAGAATAGCCTAGTTTGCTACCTCTGCCATATGAGCATAATCAATTTGTGCGGTTAACTGAGGTATCATAGTCTTTGAAGGCTTCTGTTTCGGTGGCAACAGCTTCTCAAACATCCGTTTTCTCGCTTCAAAATTAGGCAAATCCACCAAAATCCGTTTCTCTAACCGTCGGAGCATTGCATGGTCTAGTTCCCTGAAGTGAATCGGTAAAATCACGACTACTTATTAGAAATAAAGAAAAAGAGAATCGCTAAATATTGCCTCTAAGGAGGAGGCAATATTAGGCCTCTCAATAATGGGATTTCGTTTCAGCATTATTTACCAAGGTATATTTGACGCTGCCAGAAGGAAAATAAGGTCATCAGATTTGGCTAATCCATCCATTTGAATCAGAAGTTCTGTCTTCATACGTCGGGAACCCTCATGTTCACCCATTCCAACTGTACTTCCTCCATCTGAACCCCTTTGTGACATTAGTGAGTCCAATTCATCCAGGAATATCGTTGACGGTGAATGAAAGCGAGCCATTTCAAAGAGAACCTTAAAAAAATATGCCGAAAGGCAAATCGCTTACTCGAACAAGCTTTTCAGAATCACCACGCCATTTGCTAACAATTGAAGAAGCTGAGATATTGAAAAATGTGGTTTTGCATTCCGTTGCCACGGCCTTTGCCAGTAGAGTTTTACCTGTTCCTAATATTTTAAATAAAAAACTGGTATTCTTTTTAAACCTGGAGGACCATATAGTAGAAGGCCTTTCCAAGGGGAAAGAATTCCTGAAAACAGTTCTGGATACTGGAAAAATGGAAATGTTTTAAGCTTGATCGTATTTCCTTACAGAAACAGGATAAACAACAGCCTCTTTGACTAGCTGTTTTGCCGTCTCTAAGCCAACAATATCGTCCCAGTGTATGTTTGGGTTTTGAAGGTAAATATCCTAGTAAAATTCCAATTCTTTAACATACTTTAATAAAACTAACTCGAGATATAGCTTGAGCTAGTTCTGCCCATTCCGGGGAATAGCCAGCAAACAAACCCAACGGTTTAAGAATTCTTTCCTAAGCAGTTTGACTTAAGCCTACAACAAGTACTCACCTGTGATGACTGGCCTTCACAAATGGCATTATTTTCGTTACTTAGAAGTGTTTGGTAATCAATCGATGGAGTGTTCCCTTTGGTCTTATTTAAAACACGGCCCTCAGCTACAATTTCTGACAGAGATTCTTGTAACGGTTGGCAGTTTTCATGATTTGTCGCATCATCCTTTGCCAACACTTCATTTGCCTTAACAATTTTTGTTGAAGACGAGCGCGCCATTCTTGATTTGTTTGATCCGGAGCCCCTATTGATGTTTGGCAAAAATGTTTTTCTTGCTAAGTTACACATAATTTTCTGCATACCTTTGCTTTCTTTCGTCATGGTTTGCTATAGAATTTGCAAAGTTAGAAGCCTATCTAAACAAATTTGCAATACCGTCTTTTTTCCTAGATATTCGTGGGTATTTACTAAATTTTACAAAGTAAAAACTTTCAAATTCCATTAAAATTGTGTCAAGATCAATGTTGTCACATATAGAGTAAACGTCGAAATCTATATTTGCCTCATTTTTAAACGTTGCAGCTGTATTAACGAATCTAAACACTGAGTGAGTGAATACTATACCCTTCTTCTGTCAAAAAATTCATAACAAGAAGGATCAGATTTTTCTTTCGACTCTGCAAACGATTGAAATCCTAAACTGCTTTAGAAGTGGGACTCATTACTGATTCCCTTGCCCTGTTAGCAGTGCAGATCATCTGATAGCTTAGGCTGCTCATTTCGCGTTTTGAAAAAGTGCTGACGCTACACCATCTCGCAACTAATTTAAACAAGAGTAAAAACAAAAAATGACCTTTGTTTTATAGTAGTTATTAGTATTTTTTAGTTTGTTTTAGCAATTATGGGTTTAAAATGCATATTTTGCAAGTAAATGGCCAACTTATTTCTCAAAATGATTTTGTGCCGCTTAAATAAATAAACACCATTACTCCCTTTCCTAGAGAAAGCAAAACTGCATTAATGTGCATTTATAGAATTGCTTTAGTTTAAGTTTTTACATCTATCAATCTGGTTCATAAATGTCTACTTAAAATGTTTTCTTTTGCTCTGAAATAAATTCTATCCGTATTTTAAAACATTGCCTATTTTAACT